CGGGCGTGGCGGGCGCGGCGGCGGCGGGGCCCTCCATGGCCGGCGCGGCAGGAGGCGGCGGGAGGCGACGGAAGGAGGAGGCGGTTTGCTCCCGCGCGAGCGAGGAGGAGGAGTGCAGGTTGGGGGGCGATTTTCCCCTCAACCCCTACTTCTACAGATTGCAAAGTGGTTTGAGGGTTGGACCTCTAATTTTTTTTACGGGTTTGAGGGTTTAGAGGTTCTAGTCTACGGCGTTTTTTTGGCAAAAACCGTAAAAAAACGGTTACTTTTAGAGATTTGAGGGTTTGAAAACTCTACTAGTAATGCTCTAAACCTGCAGCGAGTCTCACCAGCAGCTTTTAAACCAAGCGTTGCGCATCCCTTGGCGGTGGTTCGAGAAGACGGTTTTGGACAAACCTTGGGCCGGGCTCCAAATCCCCGTTAGTACCGCTTGTCTTTTTTTCACGAGTTTCTTGAATGTTCAAACTTCACTAAATTTTGAACCGAGTTCACGCACAGAAACATCTTACACCATAGAAAAATTTAGAATTTTTTAAACTATTTTTCCTTTTTAAATCGTGGTACTGTTTACTTGGCTCATCCGAGCCCGGGCTCTGGGTTGAATTATCAGGTAAAAACATATTTCATTTCCAATCATCCCTCTCTTTCTAATTAATTAGCTGTAGAGTTGTTTCCCTTGCTTCTAGTTTTGGGCATAATGCCCTTTGACTTTGTACCCTTGATTCTTGAACCCCTTAACTAGCTATCGTTTGCTGGGGCGGATGTACGACATTTGTGAACGATTTTCATGGCAATTTGGTCATAGGGAGCAGCAATTTCTTCAGACTAGCATGCCAATTTCTTTTGAGAGAAGACATTTTTTTTGAGAAAAATGTCATCGTTTGATCTCGATCAAATGGCTACGAGGGCGTTTGCCGACAGTTTATTCCCAACGATCGTTCGCCAGTTAGCATTATCCTGATTCATTCATTGGGTCAAGAGTCGTCGGCAAATGTTGCGGGGTAAAACAAAAGGGTCTAGTGACCATACGGGGGATAAAAATCGTCGGGACCTAAGAGCATCTCCAATAGAGCGCTGAATAAAAACAACCCAATAAACATTTTTTGGCTTCTTTAAAAAAACATTTTTGGCCGTACCAATAATTTAGGGAGGGTTTGCAAGTGAGGTGATTTTTCACAGCCCAATAATTTATTTCCCGATACTAAATCCGACTTTGAGGGCCCGCCTGTCAATGCGATGTCGTTGTTTCTCCGATGGTGGCTCAACACACTCCGGCGGCGGTCTGGCGTCATAGTGGTCTACAACAGCAGGCTACGAGGTGTTGTGGTGGGTGGCGGCAGCGCAGCAGTGAGCGAGGGAGCGGTGACGGCGGTCGGCAAGCGGCAGCAGCGGTGGCTATGCGTCGGTCTTCGGCTGCCTAAGACATCGGGGGTGGTGAGCAGGTGAGTGGCGACAGGTCTCTGGCAATGACGCAGTGGTCTCACACGGCTATGCACTCATGTGGCAATTATTGGGAGTGGGGAGGGGGTGAAATTGCCGATTCTATTGGGAGTGGAGGGGCTGATTATTGGGACGTCTCAATAATTTATTAGAGAATGGAAATCTATTGGAGCATTTTCTTGCCTCAACTATCTCAATACATGAAATTGATTAGGAAAAGGGAGTGTGTTGGTGTTGCGAAACGTAGTAGAAAACAAAAAAAATCGTCCTACTATCAACCAGGAACACTATGAAGATGTTATTTGGATCGGATCGTTATCAACTCCGAGTTGCAGCGGAAGAAGAGTCAGTGTAGATCATACTTGAAGTCCCTCGAACCGTCGAGGAATGATCCCTCGAACCATCCACGAACAATCCCTTGAATGAAAGACCGTAAGCACAACCTCTCTACATTTTGCAACTGTGCGGTCTTCACCACCCGGTAGTGCTCCGCCGTCAGAACGAATCGGTGCCGGAGAATTAGAGGGAGAAGACTAGAACCACAATGGGCTTCTAATTATGAGGACTAGAGATGATTAGATCTTGCTCTAATTGGATCAACTAGAACTAAAGAACTAAAGGAAGCTTCAAAACTTGTGTCTACAAAGGGACAAATCCTCAATTATATATAGGTTGCAGGAGAGGGGAGGGACGCCACAAGGGGGGAAGGTTTCCCTTCCCCATTGCATTGGCCAAGGACGGGGAGTCCCCCTCAAATTCGCCCCCTTCCTTCTCGAAGAAGAAAAGGGGGCGCCACCTCCTATTAGGCCCATGTGGCCCAATTGCCTCTCCACCACTTGGCCTTTTAACATCCGTTGATATTTAATTAAATATAAAAGCCTTTTAGCTATTATTGGAGACTTTTATTATTAATTTAACATCTCTAGAAATATTTTCCACATATATATTACTTATCGGTATTACCCGGTAAACCCCGAAATCCTTGTGGTGACTCCGAAACGCTTTCGGTTCTTCTCAAAACTATTTCGAATATTAATAAAACTATTTCACAAATATTTCCTCATTACTCATGTCCTACTAACACTCAGCAGATCGTGATTACCTTAAGCTTGTGACCCTGTAGGTTCGGTAAAATATAGACATGAACAAATTCAATGACCGATAGTGGAACCATGGACGTCCATATCGATCCCTATGAGTACACGAATGAGATTCAAGTGAACCTTGTTTATCATGTGCTATTCCCTTTACTTCGCGGTACTTTACAACACCGAGGTGAGATATATCAGTATCCCCTTCAATAATTCTCATGCTCACTATACCGGTCTCCTCACTACCAGTTTTGTTCTTGTTTTTCGTTGACATGTTCCGGCATCTCGTGACCTAGTCACCTGTGTATAGCTAGACTACGATGGATGCCGTCATCACACCGAAAGGGCCTTAAGAATATCTCTCCATCATCGGAGGAGAAAATCCCACTCTTGAACTATCTAGTTCTTTGTCAGACTTTTCGTTGAACCTGTAAGTTGTCATTATGACCATCGTGTTACAAATACTCTCATGGTCTGAGGAATTAAAGCATGTGTGAACTCTCCGTGTTATGATGATTGACTTGTGACGATAGCATCCCAAAGTATAAAAATCAAGTTGGGTCAATTCAATATGATCGTTCTTCTAACGTCATATTCTCAATGTCGTTTTGAGACTATCGTTACACTTAACAATATCTCAAGATCCGAAAAATATGACCACAAACAACACTTGAGCTAGTCATAGAAGCGAGACTAGGAATCATATTTTGTCGTTTATCATTCCACACGTGCATATGAGTTTTCCACTGAATCACATATTCCAGGATCATAGCAGTTATAGCATAGAATATAAACTCTTAATTATAAACATGGAAATATAATAATACAATGTTTTGCTTCTAGGACATATTTCCAACAGTCGGAGATGCTCTAAGAGCATCTATTGCCGGGCGCCCAAACCTCCCAATACGCCCGATGGACGGTCCGGTCATTGACTAGTCAAAACAAACCGCCAGACGGGCTTCTCATACCAACCCTATACGCCCGGGCTGACCGATACCTCTCATATTTAGCCTAAATTTGGGACGAATATGGGCAGGTCTAGATGCGTCCAGGGGGCATCTGCCATGTCGTACCCTGCCCATGCTAACCCACCCCAACCTCATATATATTCGTTCACATCCGCATCCTAGACTAAAGCCTAGCCACTTTGCTCCACTTGACTTCACTCCGTCCCAAGTTCCCTTCTGATGATCCCAGCCTTCTCCGACACGGCGGGGAGTGGATCCAACTCCAATCAGTCCCAATCCATCGACTAGGGCGTATGCGCACGATCAAGTTCGGATTCGATCCGGCAGGACTCCGTTGTGGCGGCCCAATGGGTGCTCGGATCTGCCAAAGCTGGAAGCTCGAGGCCCGTCTATCGGACCATCTCCGACGCGGAGGAGTATGAGTGCTAGAGGGATCTGTGTGCCCACTGTAAGAAGCTGAGGGCGCGGGAGGGCGAGGCCTGCCTCGCTGCCGACATGGCGGAGGCGGAGGGGCGTCGCGCCGCCTTGTACGAGGAAGCTGCTCATGCCTGCATCGTCCAGTAGCGACAGAGGAGGGAAACATGCGCCCGTGCCAAGCAAGTCCGGTGGTCCGTGATATGGTCAGACTGCCCTCCAAGAGAAGAAGGACAATAACGGGCCGGACAGCTCCGGCAATAAGCAGATCCGGCTTAATCCATTTTGCATGTTTGAGCGTTACTTTCACGACAAAGACGCTAAGAGCGCTTGGAAAGGCAAGGACAGCCATGGAATTATCTTTGTGCATAGCTTATTATGTATATAGATCATGCCGATTTTTGGTAATCCGAAGACATGTATTGTTGTAGTATCTGTGGATGATCGTAGAGGCAGTATGATGTACGTGATTGTATTTGATTAGAGTTTGCTAAATGAGATATCTATTGTGGAATAAAAATTTATTGCGTCGGTGAACATTTGTGTGGCGCGTTAGCTATATCCGACTGTAGATGCTCTTAGCCCCATCAGTCCTAGTGCCTGCTGGACGATAAAACCAAGAGACAATTATGCCGTATACACGATGCTGGCTGCACCGAAATTACCATGCTACAGATCGATCGTCGCCGACGACAGTGTGAAACAAATCGAGTGCAATACTCCGTACAGATACCTCTCTTGACTACATTACAACTTGGGGAGAAAAAGAATTGTACTTACCGCGCCGGCAGAACCATATGGATATATGCCGTGACGGCAAAGCTGTCTACCATGTCAACTTCCTAGTACAAGGCATTAGCTTTCTTATATAATTATGTCCCAGCATTAAAAAAACGTAATGGTGATATGAGTTACGCGGAACATGGCCAGACCATAGTGATGGTGGTCGCCGCAAAAGTCTTCCGCTTGGCAGTGACATAGGCTTGCCACGCGGAATCACGTCAGGCGGCCACTCCCTCTATATAAACGCGGGTGCACGCCAGTCGACCACAACCCGATAAAGGTTAAGATTCGATCGAGAGTAATGGCCATGAAAATGGATCTGAAGATGATCATCGTGTGCTCGGTCGTCGGCTCTCTCGGGGTGCTGAGTGCCATCCTGGGGTTCTCTGCCGAGGGCACCAAGCTCACTGTAAGCTAGCCCCCCATTACTTTCATCTCCCTGCGTACTGTACATATGTACATATATGTGTTTGCTTGGATTCTTGGTCATGGTCTGTATATGTGTGCGTGTGTTTTCTTCTTGTTCTGTGCTGAAACTGCGGATATATGTCTCGCAGATTTTGGACGTGTACGAGGGTATCGGGGTGTGCCTGAAACCGCAGAACCCCGCGTTCGGGCTCGGGGTGTGCGCGGCCATCTTCCTGGCCATAGCCCAGATCATCTTCGCGGCCCTCGGCGGCTGCTGCGGCTGCTGCAAGCCCCGCGCCATCCCCTCCCAGAGCAAACGGGTCATCGGCGTCATCTGCGCCGTCTTCTCATGGTGAGTGGCCGATCGCTCGCTACCCGGAGCACGCGGGTCGCGCGTGGGTGACCAACCACTAGTGCTCACTTAAACGTGCATGCATGCATGCAGGATTGTGGCGGCGGTCGCCTTTGGGATGCTGGTGGCAGAAGCGGCCGCGAACGCCCCCGGGACGCGTGAAACGTCAGCGTCCGGCTATTGCTACATCCCCCTAGACGGCATCTTCGCCGGCGGCGCCGCGCTCACGCTCGTCGCCACGGCCCTCGGGATCACCTCCTACGTCATGCTCCGCACGCAGCCTGCCACTGTTGCCGAGACCGCCGCGCCCAAGGAAGGCGAGCAGGTGCCGGCGGGCGCCGCCGAGATCTCGACGGGGCAGCCGCAGTTCCCGCCGCAGCCTCCCCAGGGGCAGGCGCCGCCCGCGCCGCCGAGCTACCTGCAGTACTCTGCACCGCCCCAGGGGCAGCCGTACGACCAAGCGCCCTACCCGCCTCCTCCGGCACAGGGCTATGGAGCGCACGCACCCAACCAGCAGTAACAGTTTCCCCCTCCTCCCGCAGAAGGCTACGGAGCGCACGCGCCAAACCAGCAGCAACCCCCTCCTCCTAAAGGACACGAACAGCAATAATGCTAGAGTTACGGACGATCATGGGCGTTTTACGCCCCCTGATTTTCAGGAGGGTGTGAGGCCTTCCCCTCCTAATCTGCAATTCTACTGGTCCACCTCATCTAGCCCGTGAACCCGGTATTAAAACACCCCGTTGATGTAACACGCGCCGTCTGATCAACCATGCACCGTGTGAATCGTGCGTCCGTGTTATATCCCTTTCGATCGTTTTTTTTTTGCATGTAACATCCGTCTTACTCTCTATCTCTATGTATACCTTGTATTGTTTTTTTTCCTTTTGAGTTGGTCGCCTTTGTATTGTCGTGTTATTTGGATAGGGATGGCAACGGGATCCCATGCCCGTCAAACTCATGGGGATTTCATCTATAATCTATTAAGGGTTGGAATGGCCAAAAAACATTTTTATGAAAATTTTTACCGAACTAATTTATTCCTCGTATGGTACAACAGGGATGGGAATGATATTTTATTCCCCATACCCAATACTCAGCGGGAACCCAGTTTTTAATTGCGGCGTTGCGGTCAACCTTAAAATATCCACAAACAATCTTGTGGTAAAAAGCCCTGAAAAAATCTTAAACCTATCTCATATTCTCACCTTAGCTGCCAACATGACCAAGAAGTCAATACGACCTGGATGGGCATTAGCGGGCCAAGGACAACATCACGTATATATGTTATAGAGTATCATGTTATGTTATGAGTATTTTTTTATGGGAATAGGGACACTAATGGGCAACGTTCCCTGGTGGGGCATGGGCATAGTGAAATTTTACACCCAGTCATGTAAACGGGGATGGAATGGGATGATGGGAAATAGATGATAATGTGGATGTTCTAGGCATCTCCATAGCGGATTGTCCCCACTACCACCCTACTTTTGGATTAGAGGATCGGCAATGCTTGTTTGCTTTTTATGTTGGGACAGACTATATACCAGTCGACTGAAAATCGAAATAGGGCCGGCCGAATCGTTTTCAGCCTTTCGATGTAGATTCAATGGCTTACACACCTTCTTCTACCTCCCAACTCTTTTCCTGTTCATCTTCTACCCCTGCTTCTACACCCGATCAAGCCGCCTGCTGCCACCGGCCGGGCCGCCTTCTCCCGCTGCCCGCGACCGCCTCCCCGCACCGTCCACCCCTGAACCTCCCCCAATTGTCAGTCTTGCCTCCGCCCCGGTCATCCCTTTAGCCTTGGGCCTTGCCAAATTTTTCTCCAATCAACTTGCACCACCGCCCCCCCCCTAAGATAGATCATGGGGAAGCTTCTTCGGCGAGCCCCCCGCTGCGGGTGTTTCTTCCTTCCATCCGGCGCCTCCTTTCTTCTAGTGAAAATCGACTGACTCAAATCGGATTTTCAGGCAACCGACGTTTAGCTATTGTTGTTTATGTTTGCATTGAGATTTCTTGTGTAATCTTTAGATAGTCGGGAATACATCCATTAATGCTTGGCTAGGGCGTTCAAGCTGTAGGTGACTGACTCGTGAGAGTCTACGCCTCAACTCTCCATGAAATTGTGCAGCGACCATGATTCATGACATGATACTACGTGATACGTCTCCAGCGTATCTATAATTTTTTTATTGCTCCATGCTATATTATCTACTGTTTTGGACAATATTGGGCTTTATTTTCCACTTTTATATTATTTTTTGGACTAACCTATTAACCGGAGGCCCAACCCAGAATTGCTGTTTTTTGCCTATTTCAGTGTTTCAGAGAAACAGAATATCAAACGGAGTCCAAACGGAATGAAACCTTCGGAAACGTGATTTTCTCATCAGATAAGATCCAGGAGACTTGGACCTTGTTGGGGAACGTTGCAGAAAACAAAAATTTTCCTACGGTTTCACCAAGATCCATCTATGAGTTCATCTAGCAACGAGTGATTAGATGCATCTACATACCTTGTAGATCGCGAGCGGAAGCATTCAAAGAACGGGGATGATGTAGTCGAACATGACGTGATCCAAATCACCGGAGATCCTAGCACCGAACGGACGGCACCTCCGCGTTCAACACACGTACGGAACAGCCACGTCTCCTCCTTCTTGATCCAGCAAGGGGGGAGGAGAGGTTGAGGGAGATGGCACCAGCAGCAGCACGACGGCGTGGTGTTGATGGAGCTGCAGTACTCCGGCAGGGCTACGCCAAGCACTATGGAGGAGGAGGAGGTGTTGGAGAGGGAGAAGGAGGCAACCAAAGGCCAAGGTGTGAAGTCCCTCCTTTCCCCCACTATATATAGGAGGGCCAAGGGGGGTGGCCGGCCCTAGGAGATCCAATCTCCTAGGGGGGCGGCGGCCAAGGGGGGTTTCCCTCCTCCCCAAGGCACCTAGGAGGTGCCTTCCCCTCCTAGGACTCTTCCCCCCTCAAACCCTAGGCGCATGGGCCTATGTGGGGCTGGTGCCCTTGGCCCATGTAGGCCAAGGCGCACCCCCTACAGCCCATGTGGCCCCCCGGGACAGGTGGACCCACCCGGTGGACCCCTGGGACCCTTCCGGTGGTCCCGGTACAATACCGATAACCCCGAAACTTGTCCCGATGCCCGAAACAGGACTTCCCATATATAAATCTTTACCTCCGGACCATTCCGGAACTCCTCGTGACGTCCGGGATCTCATCCGGGACTCCGAACAACATTCGGGTTACTACATATACATATCCCTACAACCCTAGCGTCACTGAACCTTAAGTGTGTAGACCCTACGGGTTCGGGAGACATGTAGACATGACCGAGATCGCTCTCCGGTCAATAACCAACATCGGGATCTGGATACCCATGTTGGCTCCCACATGCTCCACGATGATCTCATCGGATGAACCACGATGTCGAGGATTTAATCAACCCCGTATGCAATTCCCTTTGTCAATCGATATGTTACTTGCCCGAGATCCGATCGTCGGTATCCCAATACCTCGTTCAATCTCGTTACCGGCAAGTCACTTTACTCGTACCGTAATGCATGATCCCGTGACCAGACACTTGGTCACTTTGAGCTCATTATGATGATGCATTACCGAGTGGGCCCAGTGATATCTCTCCGTCATACGGAGTGACAAATCCCAGTCTCGATCCGTGTCAACCCAACAGACACTTTCGGAGATACCTGTAATGCACCTTTATAGTCACCCAGTTACGTTGTGACGTTTGATACACCCAAAGCACTCCTACGGTATCCGGGAGTTACACGATCTCATGGTCAAAGGAAAAGGTACTTGACATTAGAAAAGCTCTAGCAAACGAACTACACGATCTCACGCTATGCTTAGGATTGGGTCTTGTCCATCACATCATTATCCTAATGATGTGATCCCGTTATCAATGACATCCAATGTCCATAGCCAGGAAACCATGACTATCTATTGATCAACGAGCTAGTCAACTAGAGGCTTACTAGGGACATGTTGGTGTCTGTTATTCACACATGTATTACGATTTTCGGATAATACAATTATAGCATGAATAAAGACAATTATCATGAACAAAGAAATATAATAATAATGCTTTTATTATTGCCTCTAGGGCATATTTCCAACAGTCTCCCACTTGCACTAGAGTCAATAATCTAGTTATATTGTGATGAATCGAACACCCATGGAATTCTGGTGTTGATCATGTTTTGCTCTAGGGAGAGGTTTAGTCAACGGATCCGCTACATTCAGGTCCGTATGTACTTTACAAATCTCTATGTCTCCATCTTGAACATTTTCACGAATGGAGTTGAAGCGACGCTTGATGTGCCTTGTCTTCTTGTGAAACCTGGGCTCCTTGGCAAGTGCAATAGCTCCAGTGTTGTCACAGAAGAGCTTGATCGGCCCCGACGCATTGGGTATGACTCCTAGGTCGGTGATGAACTCCTTCATCCAAATTGCTTCATGTGCTGCCTCCGAGGCTGCCATGTACTCCGCTTCACATGTAGATCCCGCCACGACGCTCTGCTTGCAACTGCACCAGCTTACTGCCCCACCATTCAAAATATACACGTATCCGGTTTGTGACTTAGAGTCATCTAGATCTGTGTCGAAGCTAGTGTCGACGTAACCCTTTACGACGAGCTCTTCGTCACCTCCATAAACGAGAAACATTTCCTTAGTCCTTTTCAGGTACTTCAGGATATTCTTGACCGGTGTCCAGTGTTCCTTGCCGGGATTACTTTGGTACCTTCCTACCAAACTTACGGCAAGGTTTACATCAGGTCTGGTACACAGCATGGCATACATAATAGAACCTATGGCTGAGGCATAGGGGATGACACTCATCTCTTCTATATCTTCTGCCGTGGTCGGACATTGAGCTGAGCTCAATTTCACACCTTGCAAAACAGGCAAGAACCCTTTCTTGGACTGATCCATTTTGAACTTCTTCAAAATCTTATCAAGATATGTGCTTTGTGAAAGACCTATGAGGCGTCTCGATCTATCCCTATAGATCTTGATGCCTAATATATAAGCAGCTTCTCCAAGGTCCTTCATTGAAAAACTCTTATTCAAGTAGGCCTTAATGCTGTCCAAAAGTTCTATATCATTTCCCATCAAAAGTATGTCATCTACATATAGTATGAGAAATGCTATAGAGCTCCCACTCACTTTCTTGTAAACACAAGCTTCTCCATAAGTCTGTGTAAACCCAAACGCTTTGATCATCTCATCAAAATGAATGTTCCAACTCCGAGATGCTTGCACCAGCCCATAAATCGAGCGTTGGAGCCTGCACACCTTGTCAGCATTTTTAGGATCGACAAAACCTTCCGGCTGCATCATATACAATTCTTCCTTAAGGAAACCATTAAGGAATGCCGTTTTGACGTCCATTTGCCAAATTTCATAATCATAAAATGCGGCAATTGCTAACATGATTCATACGGACTTCAGCTTCGCTACTGGTGAGAAAGTCTCATCGTAGTCAAC